TCCTCCTCCCCCCTCGTCACTACCTCCCCTTCTCACTCACTTCCTTAACCTCGCCTTCCTCGCTTCCCCCGCCTCCCTTCCCCCTCGCCCCCGCGTACCTTCCTCCTCCCCCTCGCCCCCGCGTACCTCCCTCCCTCCCCCTTCATACCCCTTCCCCTCCTGTCGCGCGCTCATCTGGCTCCCGCTCCCGCTCCCCATGGCCATTCTAATTATACTTCTACCTCCCCGCTTCCATGCTTCCCTTCCCTCCCTTCCCTGCCTTCCCTTCCTGCTCCCTCTCCGCGTTACTCTCCGCGTCCTCCAAACTTCCGTCCTTCGTTTCGCGCGTTCATCCGGATCCGGATCCGGACCATGGGCTTCGCGACTGGACGTGCCTAGGCCTACGCCTTCCGTTTCATTCATTCTGCGCTCGCTCTGCGGGGTGGGTGGGGTGGGGTGCGGCCCGCTCCCTTCCCCTCCCCGTTCTTTGCATATCTTTTCACCCATCCCTCCCACCACTTTTCCCCCTTCCTCTCTACTCGTGCACATGCATTATTAGCCCTCTCCGCATCACACCGTTGATCATGATAACTAACATGAACCACCCCGCAGGGCGCCTTCCTCTACGTCGCCCCCGCCGTCACGCGCGTCCTCGGCTGGGCCCCCGCCGAGCTCGTCGGGCGCGCGCTGGCGGACGTGTGCTTTGCGCGGGATGTGGTTGGTGGTACGTTTTGTTTTTATTCTTCGGTTGGGTTTCTTTTTCTTTCGGTGGATTGGGTTTGGGAGATGGGGAGAGGGTGGGGAGGGGGATAATTTAGGAGGGCGCGATGACGTCGGACGTTGGCGGCGTGTGCGGGACGTTGGAGCGCGACGCGAGGGGACGCGGCCGCGACGCTCGGACGATGCGTCGACGGACGACTTTTCGTTCTCCTCCCTCGCTTTGTGGAGTGCTGGGCTTGGGGTGGGACGTGCCTTGAGAAGAGACGTTGCACGCGACGCGAGCCCGACGATGCGAAGACACGACACTTTCGCCTTTCCTTTCTTTTCGTTCTTAATGCGGCTCCGATGCTGACGAATTTTTTTTTTGCAGTCGGGCGCGCGCTCAAGGAAGCGAGCCTCCCCATTGAGGGCGTACGGATCGAGGAGAAGGGAGAGGGTGCGGGTGGGAGTGGGAGTGGCAAGGGTGAGTTTGCTTGATTTCTTTCTTGTTGGCGGGTCGGGTCGGGCGTGAGACGAGGTCTTACCCCGGGCGCGATTACTTTTCTTCTTGCCGCAGACCTTGCCGCAGACGGCGTTTTTCGTTCGCTAACCACACATGCCTACAGGCTCCACGAATACAAATCCGAATCCGACCACCAACGCCCCGAGCACGCAGAGCGGGACGAACACGCTTACGCCGCAGGAGGCGCTCCGGACGGTGGATCGGGTGTTTCGGGCGCGGACGAAGGCGGGTGAGTTGCGCGTACTTCATTTTCTTTCGGTTATGTTTCGGTTGTGTTTTTTTCCTTTTCTTTGTGGGGTTCGTTTCTTTTTGGGAGTTCCCTCGCTCTCGCGCTACACGCCTTGTGCTTCGCGTGTCGTTCACACTACAACGCTGCCCTTTTTTTGGGGTTCTTTTATCTTTGGGAGTTTCCCTCGCACTGCACTGCACCCCTTGTGCTTCGCTGTCGTTTCCCTTCGTTCACACCCGCTCTGCCGTACCCTTGTACGACACCCTGCCATCCCTCGATCCGCAATCCGCACCGCGCGGAGTTCGGGAGCCTTGGGCGAAAGCAACAGGCAAAGAGGGATGTGCGATGGTGCGATAGTGCGATAATGCGCCTGTCGGCTGCAAACGGGCGCGAATCCTGATTTTTCATTTCGGTTTCATCCATCTCGCACGCCACGGCCATGCACGGACGCGCGATACGCAGGATGCTTTCTCTCTTAATCGTGCGATTCGCTTTCCCTCCTAGTCGTGCGATTCGCTTTTGCGAGGCCACGATATGCTTTCTCTTCATCCTTTACCCATCCTCATACTTGGCTTTTACTGAAACATGATCTGGCTCTTCCTCTAGGCACATGGGTGGGGGTCGAGTGCCGCGGGCGGCTACAGGTCGAGCCGGCTAAGGGGCGCAAGGCGATCGTGCTCGTTGGGCGCCCAAGGGGGAGGGCGCGTGTGGGGGCGGAGATGATGGGCGTCGTAGGGGAGTTGAGGGTGCCGGAGAGGGCGGAAGCGCAGCAGCAACAGCAGTATTCGCCGCCGGCGTACCAGCAGCAACAGCACTCGAGTGCCCACTTGCCGCCGTATGCTGCAAGCACGACGCGCTCCCCGAATGGGTCGGTGGGCGGGCTGCAGTGGGCGCTGCAGCCGAAGCGGGCAAGATCGAGGTAAGCTGAGCCGTGACGCGAAGAGCTTGAAGCTGATGATGGACTTGTGTAGGAGCCCAATGCATACGCCATCTCCTCTGCGCTCGTCGCGCACCCGCCGCTTCCCACGCCAAGTCCCGACCTCACGAGCCCGAGCGCAGCCATCCCGACGGCCTTCACGGCCTGATCGACCCCCACGGCCTGCTGCTCTCCGTCGGCGCCGGCGTGCAGCCGCTGCTCGACCCTCTCGCCCTCCGCGGCACGCGCCTCGGTGCGCTCGTCGCCACCGACACGCGCCTCAGCACTGCCGGCCCGCCCTCCCCGTCGACGGCATGCTCGCCGCCTGGCGTCGCATGCGCAAGGCCGACCCCGCCAACGCCGCCACGTCGGGTCGCGCGCGAGGTGTGGTGCGTGCTACTAGATGCGGTGCTGAGTCTGCTGGCGCCGCTGCCCGAGCTGACGCCGCTCCCGCCCGCCGTGGCGTCGGCGCATTTGATGTACGCGGTGAGGGCGGCGGGGGTGAAGCCGCCGCCGCGCATCGTGCCTGCGGAGGAGGTGTTTGCGCGGCTGGATCCCAAGACGGGGGGGAGCTCGCAGTATGAGCTGCAGCAGCTTCGGTTTGCGAATGCGCGGTTGGAGGAGGAGATTGCAGAGCTGGAGCGGGCGGAGGGGGAGAGGGCGAGGGTGAAGGAGCGGGAGATGGAGGGGGTGAGGGCGCGGGAGCGGATTAGGGTTGAGCAGAGGCGGTATGAATATCAGCAGCAACAGCCGCCCATGGGGATGGTGTTGACGATGCCGGGGCAGTATTTGTACGACGAGCCGCCGACGGCGCAGCAGTAGGGGTACCCGACGCCGCCTTGGGCGTACCAGCTTCCGATGAGGCGCGCTTGGGATCAGCGGGACGGCGCCTAGACATTTCCTTCAAAAAATGCAGCTGGCGCATTTCATTCATTTTTCCTCATTACTCTCTGTACTTGCACCACTCCGTGGACGATTCGTTGTGTCGTAGTTGTATTACATCTGCAATAGAACGTATCTGTGAATTAAACCAATGCTGTCTATATTCAAAACCAAGAAGATTGAGGGTCTACACAAGACATGTCTACCAAGTGCCGGGCCAGTGGTGGAAGAGGTCGCCGGAAAAACCACACAGGCGGGCGGGTACACGATGGCCCGTCTCAAACATGGGGTTAAAGAAACGGTACTCTCCCAAACGGCAGTATTGTTCATCCTCGGAGCCCTCCGACCACTTGAAGTTGTGCCGGTTCCAGACTACTGCAGGGAGCTGGTAGGACATGGACTCACCCGGGGGCCAGCCATCACCCTCGCCATGGTCGACTTCAAAACCGCTCACGGGCTTCTCATGTGCAAGCCCAAGGTAGGGGTTGGATGGATTGGCGGGCTCCTCAGGCCCATCGCGCCATGCCTGGTAGTATTGGTCCATGTGGTCACCCACGTTCTCGTAGCTGTACAGCAGAACCAGCCGTTGGAGGTGGCTCATGGGCAGCAACTGTCCTAACCAGTTCTCAACAAGTTCGTCCATGTTCGCCTTGGTGGGGGGCCACATTGGATTGACGGGGGCCATAACGATTATATTCCGGACGTGGCAGAATGCCGTGGAGCACAGAGCCTGAGCCCAGTATGGTGAATTCCAAGGCCCCGCGTCGGGTTGATGCGGCTCAATGACACGGGACTAGGTGTTGGGTCAGATTCAGAGAGGGACAGGAGTCTGGATACACGCACGGGATCTGGGTGGCAGTCTGAGAGATAGGCGAGATGGAGGCATCTCAGGGCTCGCAGGCGTCTGACCTGCGCCTCGTCTCTGAACCGCCAGAGAAATTCCACATCCTCGGGGTGGTAGCAGATGGTGATAGTATGGAGGACCTGGAGGCGGTCCAGACATTGGCCCCAGAGCTTCCAGAAAGAAACCCGGGAGGAGGTCAATGGTTGCGGCCGCGACGGGGTCTCGTCCTCCTCCTCCTCCTCGTCCTCGTCCTCCTCCTCGTGCTCGTCCTCGTCTGTGGAACCAGTAAATTCGGTACCATCCTCCTCGTCACTATCCTCCTGCCCATCGGAAAGCTCCTCGGCGTCTACAAAATCTTCAGGGTCCAGGTTGAATGAGATTTGCAGAATGCGCAGAGCCGACTCCAGGCGGGAAGAACTTTTGAGGATCGAGAGAAACTGGATGGCCTCCTCAACAGTACGGAGGTTAATGTTTCTAAAGAGCTGGGGCTGGACGATTGCGCAAAAAGTAGTGTTGATTAGGCAGAGGCGTTTGAGCTCCTCCTCGTCCGTCAAGATGTCATGAGAGGTGAGGATGTGGGCCATGACCTCGGCGGCTTGAATAAGAAGGATCAGTGGCAGTGTTACGAACCCTAAGAGATTGGCGTACGGAATGCGGGGGTTGTGTTTGTGATCATGAGTGCGTGTGAAGAGAGGTGGCAGATTGACCACTGTTTGTTTGAGTTGCCAAGGGCCCCCAAAGTAAACAAAGGTACTTTTCACCCGTGCATTACACGGGTGAAAATAAAGTCTGGGCAGTGGATGGGGCTATTTTCACCCATGAAAACTTGTCATTTGATCCTGCCTGTTTTCACCCGTGCATTACACGGGTGAAATTTAACTTGTCAAGCTCCCCGCACACCTCCCTTAAACACCTCTTTCACAAAAACGCTTCCCTGGCTCAGTTGGTTAGAGCGCCAGTCTCATATATTGTGATCAAGCGTGGCTTGAGTAATCTGGAGGTCATGAGTTCGACCCTCATGGGGAGCAGTACGTTTTGCTTCCTTTCATTTTACCTTCTGCGCAAATAGCCTGGCCGGGCGCTGGCCCCCGACACCCTGTTCGCATTTCAGCCGAACAATGTCTCAACTTTGGATTCAATGCCTTCACCGGGATTTGTAAGTTGCCGGACAATCACCAATCTTGATCCCGAACGGTCATGTCCATGCTCATCTCATCCCGAGCCACTCCCGCCGTGCACGCAATATTGTGTTCTAGGTCCACATACTCGGCACTACCGTGACGCCGACCCACGCTGATTCGCAGCGGTACAAATATTTTGAGCTCCAGCGATAGAGCGAGCATGAGCAAGGCTAACATGGGCCTCGCATCCCCAAATGCGGCATTCCGAGAGTTTCTCAAGCTGCAACTAGCACTACTTCTACCCCAACTCCAACCGTCGAACCTGGATGCCGACCTCCGATATCCCCTTGTCGTTTCCTTCGCCGTCATCACCGACTCTTCGCTCCGGCTTTCTACGTTCCCTCCTTTGCGTGCCCCGGGTTATCCTCGTTCTTCTGTTACAAACCCCGCCGACTCCCGTTCTTCCAGCTCACCAACTCCTGTCACCTGACTCGGGCGGCTGATTCAAAGTTTCCGGCGCACGCCGTCTTGCAAGAACACTATAGCGGTTTTTTTTTCTGGGAGTAGTATAAATGGCTTCGTGTCCTGACTGCATCGCCAACAAAAAAAGTACCTTCATGTCAGTTATCACTCTATACGACATCGCGTCCACCCACCCTCGCCAGGCCTGGTCGCCGAATACTGCGAAAGCAAGGTAAGACCAAAAATACCCACCGTCTCGCAATTTATTAAACTCTTCTAGATATGCCCTCAACTTCAAGGGTATTCCCCACAGGACCGTCTTCCTCGAGTATCTCGAGATTGAGCCTCTCCTCAAGAAAATCGGAGCAAAACCGACCAGTGAAACGTTTCCTCACTACACGCTGCCCGTCATTTACGATCCCTCCACAAGTGCGCCTGTCTTCTGTTCATTCTGAAGAGATAATTAACTGTGGAACCAGACACCGTCGTCTCCGACTCGATAGAAATTGCCCGTTACTTGGATGCGACTTACCCGCATTCGCCGCGCCTGATCCCAAAAGGGACGACCGCGTTCCACTACGCATTCACAGACACCATCGTCGCTACTCTCGCGCAGCCTCTTCTCGCCTACAATCTGCCAGCCAGCCTGCCCTTCCTCAACCCAGCCAGCCAAAGCTACTTCCGGCGAACGCGGGAGGAGCTCTTCGGTGGCCGGCGTCTGGAGGATGTAACGCCCACGGGCGCCGCGCACGTGGTCGAGTGGCTCAACGTCAAGGAGAGCTTCGGCCGCGTCGATGGCTGGATTCGCAAAAACAGCAGGGGCAGGTTCGTTATGGGGGACACTATCTGCTATGCGGATTTCATCGTGGCGGGATTCCTCCGTTGGACGAAGCTGGTACTTTCGCGGGATAAATGGGAGGATATTTTGAGTTGGCACGATGGGAGATGGGCGAACTTGATGAAGGAGATGGAAAAGTACGATGCTGTTTTGTAGAAATGTAGATTGAGGATGACAATGAGGAATGGGCATGAGATGGTTCTGTTCCGATAATTCTCGGAACTCCGAGCGTGGGCAATCGCATAAATAGGAGCTTCAATTAGCTTCAATGCTCTGTGAGTTCACCCACCATGACCGCACAATACACACACGGCCACCATGACTCGGTCCTCCGCTCCCACTCATGGCGCACCGCCCAAAACTCCTGCGCCTACCTCCTGAGCTCCCTCACCCCGACCATGCACATCCTCGACGTCGGCTGCGGCCCCGGCACCATCACCGCCTCCCTCGCACGACTCGTTCCCTTAGGCCACGTCACCGGCATCGAGCTCTCCGCCTCCGACGTCCTCCAAAACGCCCGGGCCCACGCAGCCGCGCAGGGCGTCGCCAACATCACCTACGCGCTCGACGACGTCCTGGCGCTCAGCTTCCCCGACGCCTCCTTCGACGTCGTGCACGCGCACCAAGTCCTCCAGCACCTCTCCGATCCAATTTTAGCCTTGAAGGAAATGCTGCGCGTCGCGAAGCCCGGCGGAATCGTCGCCGCGCGCAATACGGACTTTGCGGCGATGACCTGGTTTCCTGAGAGCGAGGGGATATCTCTGTGGTAGTCCCTAGTCTTTTGGTCGAGGACCGAAAGGTTCACATTCCCGCAGGCACAAAACACACCAGCAAGTCGTGCGCTCGAACGGCGGCGAACCCGACGCCGGCCGACGCATGCTGTCCTGGGCGCTCGCCGCCGGTGTTCCCAAGGCGCAAATCACCGCGACCGCGAGCGCCTGGTGCTACAGCACCCCCGCCGAAATCGCCTGGTGGGCCTCGACCTGGGAAGAGCGCGTCCTCTCGTCCGAATTCGCCACGAGCGCCCTGGAGCGCGGATTCGCGACGCAGGCGGACCTGGCCGCCATGTCGCAGGGCTGGAAGACATGGGGCGCGCAGCCGGACGCGTGGTTTGGGCATTTGCACGGCGAGATTGTCTGCCGCAAGGTCTAGAATGTAGTGCTTCTAATATGTAAATGACACTTTTGCCTTGCTTTGTGTCCTCTTCCTCCCCTCATGCACGCGCACATCTCAGCCAAAGTACGCGCAGGACCATGAATGCCGCCCTCGCTAATCGTGCGTAAATCCAGAAGCAGGAGGCGCGCGTCGCTGCGCTCCAGGCAGAGGTCGAGAGCCTCGAAAAGGAATTAGGGTATGTACATCCGTCCATTCACCTCTCTTTCTTCCTTTCGTTCGTTCGCGCCAGCCCGATGCTCACGAACGAGCTCACAGCACGCACGAGGACGCCGAAGCGATCGTCAAGAAACACATCAAGCTCCTCCATCGGTATAACGAGGCCAAGGACGCGGCGCAGGTGACTCCCCTCCTGCCCTACTCGCCGCACGCCAGATTTACTTACCCATTCCCCAGATTCTCATCGGCAGGGTGAGTCCACCACCCAACGGACGGAACCTTTGTGTATTGATTCAATTGCTGCGCATGGGCAGCTTGCGACGCTCAAAGAGACGACTGTGAAGCAGATACACGATGAGCTTGATTTGCGCCACAGCGACTGAGGGGACTTGATTGCTCGAATACGACGATGGTGAAGTGCTGCTGTAGATACACGAGTGAATATACAGGCGACTTACCTGCAACCCTTGAAAATCTGACAGTGTAGTCGAGTACTTTTGGCGGTCGGTCAGTTGGATGCGTTCAGCAAACTTTCTCAGAAACGACTGTCGCCCACTCAGAGTAACAAAAGGCAGCTCGCCTGCGTCACGCAACCGACTCAGCCATGCAAAAAGACAAGGAACCCTAGACGCGCCCCCCCAAAACAAACGCAAGAAATGCCAAACCGAGCGACGAGCGGGTGTGCGCTTTGGGCCCCATGTATCTTCTGCTTCCCGCCTTCTTTTTTTTATCACCTCAAGAGTCACGAGTCAAGAGTCCAAGGCGATGTTAGGTCCAGGGCTGCACGACATGAGGATGAGGGAGGACTGGTCTGTGCGCGCCCGAGTCAATTTTTTGCGTCCGAGTTTAAGGGCTGTGCCAAGATCGACGTGGAGGACGGTATGCGCGCCAGAGAGACATCGCCGAGTATATGCAGAGGGGCGGCGATAGGGATGCCTCGAGGCGACTGATGACTCGAACGGCGGCAGCGAGGAGTCGCGAAGAGCAGCAGATAACGCGTGTCAGATACACAAGAAAAGTATGAAATTCGAGACAAGAATGATACACGGACTGTAAACGCTTTTGTGCGCGCTGCTCCCTCATCGCGACGTCCGAACCGGCTCGTCCGAAGCTCGTCCCAGATGGCCCTAAAACCCTCTGCCGCGGCCCCTGCCTCCACCGCGCGGACCGCCTCTTCCGCGTCCGCGATCCATTCCACGGCCCCTCCCGCGTCCGCGTGCGGCGTCGAGCTCCTTTTTGCGGCCCTTTGGTTTCGGTGCGTCGTCGACGAGGAGCTGCAGGGGCGTTAGGGCAAGTGAAAGGAGAATGACGGGACATACGGTATCGAGGGGGAGGGCATCGGGGAGGACAAAGTAGCGGATGTTGTTGCCGCGGATGGAGAGGGCGTCGAGGGAGGCGGGATCGCGGTTGCGGGCTGTTATTTTCACGGTTTTGAGGTGGGTGTTCATTTGCATGTCCACGCCTGTAAAAGTTGAGCAAAAAACAAGGGGAAAGTTGGAAGTCCCACCCGTTATTGTACCATGGACGACTGAACCATTCTTGAGCTCTATGGTGACAGTCTCGTTGTTGAGCTTCATGAGGAAGCGGACGAGCTTCATGGTGCAGACTGAGAGTTGTTTGTAGTTGTTAGACCTAGGATGGACAGTCGCATGTCGGGGTTCGTTGTCGGGTCGTCGTACACGGTGAGCGACGTGATCGGGGAGGGCGCATACGGCGTCGTCGTCAGCGCCGTCCACCAGCCAACACAGCGCAAGGTCGCCATAAAGCGCATTACCCCCTTTGACCACTCCATGTTCTGTCTCCGCACCCTCCGCGAGATAAAGCTCCTCCGCCACTTTCACCACGAGAACATCATCGCCATCCTCGACATCCTCAGACCACCCTCAATAAACGAGTTCAACGAGGTCTATCTCGTCCAGGAACTCATGGAGACAGACCTCCACCGCGTCATCCGCACTCAGGAGCTCTCCGACGACCACTGCCAGTACTTTATCTACCAGACTCTCCGCGCACTCAAGGCCCTCCACTCCGCCGATGTCCTCCACCGCGACCTCAAGCCCTCAAATCTCTTGCTCAATGCAAACTGCGATCTCAAGGTCCATCTCCTCCAACTAAGTTAACCTCCCCTTACCCCTCGGCAGCTCTGCGACTTTGGTCTCGCCCGCTCCGCCCGGCCCCCACCCGACGTCGCCAACGACAGCAGCACCTTCATGACCGAATACGTCGCCACCCGCTGGTACCGCGCCCCCGAGGTCATGCTCACCTTCAAAGAGTA